CCCCAAAACCCCAAAACCCCAAAACCCCAATGCTTTCTTGGTACTCATCAAGTGAGAGTTAATTAGCTAATATTTAATGATATTTCTTATTATTCACATTCCAAAGTATTTGTTATTTCTTTCTTTGATAAGCTTAGGAGTCTCATTAACTCTTGACTTTATTTTTTAGGTCTTCCCTGCCATATTTAAATCAATGACCTAGAATTATTAACTTTTACTATCTTGAAATGGCTTCAATCTAAATGGCTCAAAATTTCCTGTATTGTCAAATGAGCCCTTAAAGCTGCTAACCGGAATTTTAATTTTTGATTATAACAACTTAGCCATTGATAAATCACTAACATAATTTTCATAATCATCCACACAGACAAAAGCCTAATCTTCTTTATTTTACATCATTTTTTCAAAAGCTTTGATTGCTTAGTCTATAGATTATACACTTCCTCTTGATGATATCAATTTAACTATTTCATCAACAACACACCTAAATTGAGTTGTGACTGTTAGCAAGGGCAATCTATCAATGAGCTGCCTCAGCATAGCATCATAGTTTTAATGTTTGGTCTCCTTGTATAAAATGGAAAGAGCCTCAAATTTTTCATGGATATTTTTGTTATCTATGATTTTATCCTTAAGGTAGAAAATATTAATATGCCTTCCAGCTCTGGGCGATAAAAGCATTTGTCTATTCTTTAACTTGTTATCACTCTCTAATAGTACTGAATCATTTAGCTACTTTTAGAATTTAAAGAGGTCAACACCAGCAGCTATTACTCCATGGGAACTCTTAAAAAATTAAAGTTTAAGGCCCAAGGTACGTGGTGACATAGTCTTCATTAGATCAACAAAGATGGAATTCTAGTCATTATCACCTTATATAACCCTTTTTCTTAAGTCATTATAAGCGAGTGCCTTCTTATATTATTTGTGAAAGTTCAAATCTTTTCCATCATTCTCTTAGTCTGATTCATGATCATCGATAATTCTAGATTGCTCAAGTCTTAAACTTTTTTCTAAAAGATTCTTTTTCCCTAGCTTTTTGAATTCTGGCTGATTTCTTTAGAGTATCGCACTATTCTACTACTTTTGATGCTTAATTTGTTCTATTTGGTCTTTAAGAGGCAGATAAATTGCATCTAGGTTATCAATTTAGCTCATTTATTACTTTTTGCTATTGATCTACTTGGGTTTTTAATCCTAATTTAAGGATATATCATGATTTACTAGGATTTAAGATTCATTAACCCATTCTAACTCAAATATTTCTTTTAGATATCTTTTTTCTGCTTTTCTAAAGATTTTTGTAAGAACAAGATTGCCTTTGGTACATTATCTTGGAGTTTTAAAATCTAGGTTTCTCGCATAGACATTTATTGGGAATTGTCTTATACTTTCCAATGTTCCACTTAAAATTTCCTCAACAACCTTATAATGACCTGAATATCCCGCTAAATGAAGAGGAGCCCATTTTTCTTATCCACCTGGTAAATTAAAGTCGAAAATTTCCATTTTAAGTTCCTTAAGAATCTCATTAGCCATCTTAGCCCACCTAATTACTTCAATTTAACCTTTACGGGCAGCTACATGCAAGGGTGCCCATAGATCTCTGTTTTTCTAATTTGGTCTAGCTCCTGACATAATCAAACTCTCTGCAATAGCTTTGTATTTAGTTTCACTTTTTGAAAAGACATTTACTATGAAGTGGAGTGGAGTATTACCATCTTTATCAATAATGTTAACCTCAGCTCCTCTCTTGATCATCATATCAACTAATTATAGATCAGTCCTTACTACAGCTAATAGCAAGGCACTTCCGTAGATTCCGCCACCAATATTCACATCAGCCCCAGATTCAATCAATAACTTGGCTGCATCAAATTTAAATTCTCTAATAGCAACACATAGAGGAGTGCATTAATCTTTATCTAGTATATTCAAATCACAACCACTAAGAATAAGTGATTTTATCACTCCTAAGTCGCCTTAATTACAAGCGTTATGAAGTATAGTTCTTTAACGAGAATCAACATCGTTTATATTAAATCTAGATTCAGATAAAAACCTTAAGAAATCAACAAAATCGCATTCATACTTATCATTTTAGAGAACTAAATGATGACAAAGTTTTTTTAAAACCTCCATGAATGCTTAGCCTTGATTGCTTGAAGTTTTAATTACTATTGGTAGAGGAGGATCAACATAAACATACTTTACCCAATCCAGTGAAAATTCTTTTATATTATTTAGTCTTCCTAACGAGCATGGAATAGAAGTGAATAAATTACTATCAATATAGAGACACTCTATCCTTCTCATCTAATCCAACTCTGGAGGGAGATATCGGATCATGTTCTACTGAATATTAAGAGTTTTCAGCTAGTTTAGATTGCATATGCTATCAGGAAGGCCAAAAAGCTTATTATCAGAGGCATCTAATTCTTCTAGCTCAAATAAATCTCCTATCTCATTTGGTATCATATTTAAACAGTTAGAATTTATTTTAAGCACTCTAAGATGCCTCAGTCTTTTTATGGCTGGAGTAAAATAAGCAAGTTTATTACTGCTAATAAGTAGAGTTGTAAGACCAGGGACACAATTAATTAGTGTTTCTGTTATTTAGGTTATCAAATTATTGCTTAAGTCCAAATGTGAGATTAACTAGAAAGTTGCTGCAAGTAGTTGTTTAGGCACTTCAGTTAAGTTCTAATCTGTAAAACTTAATTTCTTTTCAGTATTATTCATTTTTAATAAATGAGTCGATTAGATATGATGTATGTTCTCCTTTTTCGGTGCATCTCTACTATTACTTTGCTAAGATTGGTTGCCCTCCATATCATTTTGGAACTTGGCTTCATCTTAAATAATACTGCATGAATCATTTTTATTATGGCCCTCTTTAATCCCCTACCGATTTTAATTCTAATGTCCTGTTACTACTGTCAAGACATAAGACTCATCTTTCTAGTTAGTTAATAATCTATTCTCTTCATAATTTTCTTTGATTGTCGAAATAGAAGGCTTACTGTTAGTTTAGTTATCAAGTTATTTTTTATTGTGAGTAATCTTAGACGTTTTAATCAGTTAATTGTTGTGATCAGATAGTTAAGTACTTTTCATTTTAAGATAAATTTGAATTAATATAACTTATTTAAAATAATATACTTAACAAAATAAAATCAATCGAATTTGTAAACTGAATTCATCTGTCTACTTGCATAACTATTTTACAGTTGTTCATTGCTTTTATTCATTTAATTCATAGATTGGTCAATAGATTTTTCTCTATTCTTAAAATTTACTTGCTTTTCTTTCTTTTTGTTCTTGCTGTTATTCATTACGGTGAAAGCTTATTTCTTTTAGCGGCTCATTGCTTTTTTATCGAAAATATCACTTTTATCATGAGAGTTAACATTATCGAACTTCAATGACTATACTAAGTTTTGATCTCTTTCTTACTAATCTTAAATTTCTTCGAAGTCCATCTCCTCTACAATTTGATTGTCATGCTCAGATAATGAATCTTCTGTTATTGTCATAGCATCAGTGTCTTATCTCACTTTCCTATCCTGTATCTGCCTAAATTACAGCCATACAGCGAAACTCTGACTCCTTTCATACAACGGATTTTCATCCTTTTAATTACTCGATTTATTTCTGTCCTTGCTCATTTAGTTAAGCTTTTCCTGAATTACATTAAACTTTTTATCATATATTCTATGCTTCAGATAAAATGCCTTGTCATAATCATATACAATAGTCATGAAAATGAAAACACTTGTAATAGTAATCATTCCTATCAGTGCATTATGGACATAAACAGTGAAAAATTCTTTTTAATTATTGTGAATGAACATTCCCACATAATTTAACAAGGTAGTTATACTGAACATTACGTCTTTATAATATGCAAGGTAGATACTCATTTCGATAAGCATTACCGTCATTGCAATGACTCCCCAGAGCTCAATATCTAGGTTCCAAATTTCAGCATCCTGCTTGTTTTCACTTTTCTGAAATTCATAGAATTCTCCCATCGATCTGAAGAAATTGAATATGCAGAAATATGTGATCCAAGCATGAAAAACAGAGAATGTAACATGAATAGAGATAAATTCTTTGAAACTAACAAAATCCCTGCCATCATCTTTATATATAACTTTTCTGTATGTCTTGATATGCATATATACTATAAATTTCAATCATTACTGTTGTGTTAAGAAATGTAATTACTTTTGAGGAATAAAAACAACCCGAAAGGCAGGAAGAACTTGGCAAAATTTGAGTAGCTTGTGAATGCGATTATAGCTATTGTTTACAGAAAGCATTATACCAAAAATGATTCTTTAATTCTTCTTAGAATAATATTTTGATAATGCTGACCTGGCCTCATGCACGGTAGAGGAAGAAGCACAAAAATGAATTGAAGTACGAATACTAAAATCCATTGCATTATTAAGAAAAATCTATCAATTGTAATCGGAGTTTCATTAGAATCGAAGATATTTAATGTTACATTTGTCATCATAGCAGTGACGATAATTGTCACCATCTGCAATATAAAGATGAGCATATTTATGATTGTCAATTTAGTAAGTCTACTCTTATCACCCAATGTTACGTCTGACTTTTTGATATACTCTGCATGAGGAACGTAAGTAATTTTTCTCTCAATTGCAGTCAGCAATTTAGCTTTGCCTTAATTGACTTGTTCAACTTGCTTATATGGAGATGTAGAAGTCTTGCGACTGAGCTTAACTGGGGTAAAGTTTTTAAATGATGCAACAGATTTTCTCTCTTCTAAAGCCTGTACTCCTTGATTTTCAAGCAATGGAAAAAGCATCTCCTAAGCCCCCTATGAACTTGGCATTTACTTAATGGACTAACGAGGCCTAAATGACTTTTAATCAATTGTTTTCGATGAATATTTAGACATTATAAGATTATTTGTTTATCATTATTGTTCTATTTTTGTATAAATTTGATTATTCGGGGTTTTGGGGTTTTGGGGTTTTGGGG